CCCTCGGGCGGGAGCCCCCCCGCGCTTCCCAAGCGGCGCACTATCCAGTGCGCCACCGGGCTGGCCCCTTCCCAACATTCTTGATCACTGCCTAGATTAAGCAGGACTGGAAAATGGGGGATTTAAGAAGTGTATTGACATGACCAAATTTACACTTCAGATCCACCCTGGTGGATTTTAAGGGTATGAATTTAAAAGGGAAAAGATTAGACACGGGAAAATCATTCAAGAAAGTACTGAAGTCCGAGCAAAAGACTACAAAGTGTACCAGGACCAGGTAAAAAGAGAGGAAGGAGAAAACAGATTAAGGACTATCCAGGAAACAAAAAGGGGGTGCTATGATTTGAAAGTGTCCCCTAAAGTTCACATGTTGGAAACTTAATCCCCATGCAACACTGTTGACAGCTGCGGCCTATTACAGGTGATTAAGTCTTGAGGGCTCTGCCCTCATGAATGAATTAATGTTGTTATCAAGGGAGTGGCTTAGTTACCCTGGGAATGGTTCCTGATAAAAGGACAAGTTTGTTCCCCCTTTTTCTTGTGTGCGTGCATGCCTTCTATCATGGAATAGCAAAGCAAGAAGGCCCTTGCCAGATTTAGGCCCCTCAACCTTGGACTTCCCAGCCTCCAGAACTGTAAGACATAAATTTCTGTTCTTTATAAATTACCCAGTCTTGGGTATTCTGTTATAGCAGTACAGAACGAACTAAGACAGGGGGTGTCGTGGTTAGTCTGAAGTAGATGTTAAGGAACGAAGTATAGCTCCCAGGTTTCCAGCAGAATTAACTAAGCATAATGTCAGTATCATGAGTAAAACAGACAATAAAGAAAATTAGCAAATAAAGAGAAGATACGATGACTCAGCCTTCAGACTCCAGGAATGGAAAAACCTGTTTACTTGCATTTGAAAGATTTTATTTTTTTACTAGAGTCTATCCTTAGAGACATTGTGAAGTAAACAAGCTTAAACCAATACATAGATTTTTATAAGACACAGGGTTCTCTCTTAGTATCTTCATGGTGCTCCCTTTCCTAATCAAAACTTGGCCCAAAAAGTTCCTGATAAACACATTTATTGAGTAGCTTAAAAGATGACAAAAGTTAATGCGTGGTAAAAAAGAAAAAAAGAATTTCCGATTGTGAGATTCAGTACTTATTGGAATGTTAGGGGGATATATTGTATAAAGCAGTCTATTTGGTAACACTGAAACCAAATTACACGTGAAAACTTTATTTGGTATGTGCACCAATCTACACTTCCCCAATTGCATTATTTGACATGGATAATTGATATAGTTTCAATTTCATGTAAAGTGTTATATAACCACATCAGATTCCAACCTCTCTCCCTACCCAATTGCCACCAATGATCCTCACCTATGTAGAACTTATCAAGCCCTATATCAATCTGCTCCCAGCTTAGAGCCCATGCAAGCGATCCTACGAGGCATAAAAGTGTTGCTGACTTTCATAATGAATATATAGCAAGTACACCCAGACCTGGAAATGATCAACTATCCTGCTCTCGTTTTTGTGAAGAGATGCTATGAGTGGGCATAGTAAAATTTAAAATTTAATGTGTATAATTTTTAAGTAACATTTGCATACAGTGAAATGCATAAATCTTAATTGTACAACTCAATGAGTTTTGACAGGGGCATTTGCCGTGTAATTCATGCCCCTATCAAGGTATAGATTATAGATCACTTCCTTAGGCTCAGAAATTCCCTCAAACCTCCTTGCAGTCAATTCTGTCATCCTTGCACCTCACCTCCAGGTAACTATTGATCTGTTTTTGGTCATTAAAGATTAGTTTTGCCCATTCTGGAATTTCACGCTAATGAATCATACAAGATGTATGTGCTCAACTTCCTTATCTCAGAATAATTTCTGTCTGTGAGATTCATCCACACTGTGGTGTATATCAGTAGTTTATTACTTTTTAATGTTGAGAAGTACCCAATTATATGAATATATTATAATTTGTTTATCAGCCGATAGACATTTATGTTGTTTACTATTTTTGTTGTTATTAAAAAGATTGCAATGAACATTCTTATACACATCTTTTGTGAATACGTTCTCATTTATCTTGGGTAAATACCTAGCAGTAAAATTATGGACCATAGGGTAAAATCTAGACCCTTTTGAAAGAAGAAAATGATCTGACCCAAAGATTTTTATTTTATCTTATTAGATGTCTACTGCCCACTCTCAACAAGAAGACCCAAATAAACCCTACTGGATTTTGAGATTGGTCACTGAACACAGTGAATCAGACTTAATTGAAGTGAAAAAAGACACAGAACGAGCAGATGAAATCCGAGCCTTGAAGCAAGCCTGGGAGGCAGCTGAGCCAGGAAGAGCAATCAAGGTCATCTAAATTTGAAAAGTTCTCATTTTTTTACTTTTCGTCCTTAGGCATAGTCTCAAGGAAGAGGCATGTTGATGAAAACACATAGTCTTTCCTTTAAAAATGGTATCTGGAGTTTTATCAGGCATTGATTGACTAAATGTTAAGACTACATTTGGACACGTGGTGAAATGGTCCTCTCGTGATACCCAGATGACTTGCAAAAGCAAGGCACATAATAGTGCCACTTAGAAACCCAAACTATGAGCTACCTCCTTCTTTCAACACAGCCCAGGCTATATCCACAACTGCCCTTAACACCCTCAAGTAAGAAAGCATAAAAATGTTTAATATGTGGTTTCCTGTACTTTTAACAGCCTGATAGGTAAAAAGCAAGTGCTGCCCTCTTTTGGAATATATGTATATATCATCTCTTTTTCTCCCTACTATATTCGGTACAATTACTTACTTGTGTGTTTCATGTCCCGACTCAGGGTAATTGGAACAGATGAAAGATTCAGGAGCTAATGAATCTAAGATAGCATGCCCACTGTGTTAGTTTTAGAACAGCATCTTCATTTGTTCTCAAAAATAACTCTGTCAAAATCATGGATGGCTCAGAATTTGAGTTTATTTGATAATTAAGAAGAGCTGGCCTGGACCAAACTGCCCTATTCAATTCTCATGTCCCTGTTTTGCTTGAGTGCCATTAACATGTTGTGGCCTGTCCTGCTTGTTGATTCTCAAAGCGTTTAAAAATCAGATACTGTGTCTTCTTTAGGCTTCTCAGGCTCGCTTACTTTACCTCAGCCGGTTCATTAAGAAAATACCTGATACTGAGGGTGTGCCTGTGCCTTCATCTGAAAGCCAAACAAAATCAGTGGAAGAAGGTCAGTGAATCCCATCCCAGACGCCTCAGAGCACAGAACTTGCACCTCTTAAAAAATAGTCAGTGGATCATGGTTGGCAAAAAGGAAAAATTCCAGAATCTCTTTTCTTTGGGATTGTAAAAAGTTGCACAATTTGGGCTGGCCCGGTGGCGCACTGCTGCAGGGCGCAGCTTGGGAGTGCGGTGGCGCTCCCGCCGAGGGTTCGGATAATATCAACCTAGTCCTATTATCCTGTGATGGGCACTGTGCAAAGCATTTTATATTCATTACTATCACTTTAACCTACAGCAGCTAGAAGTAGACATTACTATTCCCATTTTATAGATAAACAGACAAAAGCTCAGAGAGTCACACTATTCTTCCTAAGTGATATATCTACAAAGTAATGAAGTTGGAATCTGAAATATTTCTATCTTCTTAAGTACCCACTCCTCTAATTGTTGTAGTCTAATGTAATGCTAAAAAAAGAAAGGTGAACAGGATCCCGTTCTAGTCCTTTAGGCTATAAATTTTATTATTATTTTTTAAATCTTGTATTAAGATTATGTAAAAAAAAATCTTACATTGGACCCTTGTTAAAAATGATAAGGAAGACTTTAATCAAGACTACTGAATTAGGGGAGAGATTGAATTCAACGCTGACAACAACAGGGACAAGTGGGGATTCATAACCAATATGCCAGGTGACAGAGTAGATGGGAAATTACTAACAGGAACTTGGTTAGGTATCAAGGGTGGGAAGAGAAGCTTGATTGAATATCAAAAGTGGTGGGGATTCTGAATGAACTGGGTTAACAGAATTCTTTGCTAAAATTGAGATCAGAAGGCCAAGGCTAAGCCCTAGTTGAGAAAAGTGCTCAGAATAGGCTGTGGAAGTGGTTGGTAGATTTTACAGTTTTTCCTAGGCTTGGAGATCTGGAACAGTGGGAGTACAATTACAGTGTTAGGAGAAAACCTCACAAGCAAGAACCCTTTCCCTCTGCTTTAAGACAATTTTAAATACATGCCTACACACAGGGCTCCCTCCCAAGAGGGGAGTATCCCATTCATGCACAAGTGCCAGCACAGGGCTGGCTGCACTTGCTCTAGGGCCCACCTTAACAGTAGCCCCAATAGTTCAAAGATCTCATTTCCTTTTATATTGTCTTAGCTTCAAAAAGCCTCTATTTTTATGTAAAAATTTAATATCCTGAGGCAGCTTTCTGATACACTGCCTGCCTGAGTCACCCATGACATCCTCTGAGATATCAATTATTGTTTTTGCTAGTGCTCCAGTTGGAAGTTGCAGAGCTTTTGAGTCATCTGCTCCAAATCTGTGCTCCCCTAAGCAAGCCCTGTTACCCTTTGCATGTGATTTCATAGAATGCAAGCTTTTTGGTAATGCACATGTTATGTTGTAGTAGAATCACCTGCAATTGATGCAAAAGAGCCAGAGGCAAAGAGTTCTACAAATCTGGAGAGCAAAGAAGGATCAGGGAATATGGTATGGAAGAAGTTGCAATCGACCAAGGGCCTGAAAGATCTGACAAAATCCGCAAGCAATGAAAGTGGAGGAGCATCCTCATCAGAGCGTGAGCCAAGTGTGCGGAGGGAAAATATCAGTAAGTACAGATTTCCTTGGAAAGATGAATACATAATTTGAAGTAAATAGTCTGAAAAGATCATAACATAAACATATGTCATGGCTAGGGTTATTAAAACAGAGAAATAGATATTTTGGATTCATATGTATTCATTTTACTTATCAGAGTTGATAATTTGCTCAAGAACCTGATTACTAAATACTTCACCTAAAGATAAAAGTAGGTACACAGACAAAAATTTTGCAGGTGTATTTTTTCTGTTTATAGGCTTTCTGTGTATACAATACTGAAAAGAAAATGTCAGCATTCACTTATACAATTGTCATTAAACACAAGTCCTTTTTGTTTTATTTGTAGCATGCTACGTGATAGATTTTCTTTTTATCTATTATAAAAAATTAAGTGTTTAGTTTTTAAAATGTTGGAAAAGAGCAATTTTCAGTGCTGCAAAAGCCACACTGACTTGATTTATTTCTCTATGGATTTGTATTTGTTCACTAAAATGAACCAAAATCCTTGATGGAAGGTGTTACAGGGAAATGCTTTCCCACAGTCTTGGGTTCCATGAGGAAGGATTATTACTAAGCAACTCCTGGACTCTTTCTATCCCAAAGGGGCTAATTGTCTTATATGACTGACACATTTGGAAAGAATAAATTGGGCTGCCCATGGGAGCCTGAGTCCACTGCTTTTGAGTTGGGAGCACATCCTATGTCTGGGCTGGAAGTGTTGGTCAGCTCTGGGTTTTCTTGATCATGGCCCATTTGCCTCTCACATCTACATCCTCCAGTTAAACCAGTATCACCAGTAAAATCTTACTCTTTATTTCCCTACTTGTTCAGGACCCAGGCAGGAAAGAAGGATATTTTGGAAGGAGGCATTCTCAGAAACACCAACAATGGTTCTCATCAAAATTGCTAAACCATTCTAAGAATTTTAAATTTAAGAAGTGTTTATGACTAAAGCATATCCTTGCATAATTCCCATAGTAAAGAGAAAAACTACAAAATTGAAAAGACTCTTTTGCTATAGTAACAGGAGATTCTGATATTTTCAAGCTGATATTTTGAAAGTAAGTGTTGTGGTTCCAGTCAAGATGGTGGAATAGATGGTCCTCAGTGTCACGTCTCTCCCACAAGTCAACCAATTTACAACTATAAAAATGTAACATCAGCCAAACTGGGGCCACTGGAGCTCAGGGGAAGAGAAGGAGGGACCTACGAAGTTCATGAAGGCAGGACAAGCCATGATGAGAGAAAGAAAAAACTGCTCTGAGGGTTTCATGCTGCAGCTGCTTTAAGGCTGGAACTGCTGAGTGCATGGAGCAGGAGCCGGCAGAGGCTGCAGCTGTGCCCTTCAGATGGAGTTACTTGGAGGAGGCAGGGGAGAAGAGGGCTTTGCTGGCCCCCAGGACAGCAAGACCACTAATAGGGTTCCCATGGACCCATGCACGAGCGAGGAGCCAGAACAGCTGAAAAAGGGGAGCCACTCAGAGGCCGGTGAGTCATCACAAGGGCCTGTCCCATGGGAAGTGTTTGGAACACAAGCGGTGGGGGAGACAGGCCCACCAGGAGAACACTGCGACACAGGAAGGACAGCTGACCAGCCCCCCAATCAGCGCAGGACCACTCAGAGGAGACTGGTTGGGAATGCAGAATTGCATGGGGTGCAGTTTGATGAAAAACCTCAGGCCCAGATTAGAGTTTCAACACAACCCAGATCCGCTGGGTCTCTGGAGAACCGGAAGTACCTATAAAGTCAACCATTAAACCCTGAGCTGCACAAAAAGCCTTCCCTAGGGAAACAGCAGCAAAGCAGCAATTCAGCTCAACCACACAGCTCAAGTACTAGTTTCCACAGGAATTTCCCCCATTGTTGCTTTGCCTCCCACGGACTTGTCACCCCTTTTCCCCTGTGTGATGGAGCCACCAAAGATTACTCAAAGCCCATCTCTTCTGAGCAATGAGAAGCCCCGAAAAGGGGTTAATCTCCCAGAACCCTCAAGAGTGAGGCATTCCTTCCATTTGGGAAATTAACCACAAATTGGGGTTCTCTTCCCACATTTATTCTCCAGACCAGGAAGTTACAGGAAGAGAACATAGGTGGGGTTTTTGCTAAGTATAGCTTAACAAGTTTAACAATAGGCATTCCATAATGCAATTTTCAAGAAGTTAAGTTGATCCACCAACAAAAGCTTGATCTTAGCAAACATTCTCCTTACGGCAATTTCCCAGTATCTTTACATATCAGTCAGTAACCTGTCTGTCTTTGAGCCAGCAACCTTGCTGTATTACAATTCTTTATCTTACAACAGAGACTATTGCCTGCGGAAAATTTCCTGTCCTTTGCAAGTCAATATTTGAAACTATAATGCTTTGGAAAACCAGGCCCTGTGAAGTACATTTGCTTTATGCATACTCCACACCCCATTTTAGAAGTAAGCAAAGGACAAAAAATTAGTTCCAGCCCAGGCACATCACTAGCATCTTGGGGCCTGCCTGGGAACTGGAGGCTTGGAGCTAGGGATTAGACCCCACTCCCACATCCAGGCACACCACGTCAGTGCCTCAGGGCCCACTCAAACTCCCAAGGCATGGAGCTGAGGACCAGAGCCCCCCTACCACAACCAGGCACACTGTGCCAGCATATCAGGGCCTGCCCCATGACCCAAGGTATGGAGCCAGGGAACAGATTGCCCTCACACAACCAGGCTCACTGTGCCAGTGCTTCGGAGCCCAGCCGGAGACCTGAGTCTTGGAGAAGGGGACCAGAACCCCCACCCACAACCAGGCACACCCTGTTAGCACCTCGGGGCCCACGTGGAGACCCAAGTCATGGAGAAGGGGTCTGGATCACCCTCCCACAACCAGGTACACCATGCCAGTGCCTCAGGGCCCACCTGGGGAACCAAGGCATTGAGAAGGGGATTGGACTCTACTCCCACATTCAGGAGCACTGCACCAGCACCTTGGGGTCTTCCTGGGGACCCAAGACATGAAGCAGGAGACCAGACACACCCCACAACCAGGCAAACCACCAGTGCCAAGGAGGATGCCAAGAATATCACCTCCATGTGGGTGGCCCACCACAGCCACCACAACAACCATAGCTGCCACAAAAGTGGCTAGATGCCACAACCACCATGGAGATGGTCCACCAATCACTGGAGTGCATTGACACAAGGAGAGTCACCAGCAGAGATAAAGAAAAGAAGAGGATGTCTCTCTCCACAAAGCCCATTTCAGAGTGACAGAAGAAGCATCTGCTTTATGACAGTATTGGGGGACCTGATCATATATTGGAGGACCTCTCAGCATTGGACAGATCATCTAGGCAACAAATCAACAGAGTAACCATTATTCTTTCAGAAGGTGAGAAGAAATCTAGGGTAATTAGAGGGGGGAGGGTGGAAGGATGGGGGATGAGGAGAGATTTAACAAGAGGCATAAAGAATAATTATGATTTGTAACAATATTTATGCTAGTAATACTGATTTGATCAACATATCTCAATGTTGAACCCCCAAAATGTGTATAAACAATTTTGATTCAATAAAAATTAATGAATTAATTAATAGAATAACAAATGCTTACCACACTACATACAGATACAGATATAGGTTATTTTTTGTTGTTGTTGTTGTTGCCCACAAAATGGACTTATATTGTACTTAATCTTCTGAAAATTGTTTCTTTCAGTTAGTTATATTTAACAGCTATCTTTCTGTACCAGCCTATATCAATCTGCCTTATTCTGTTTAGGGCATAGAGCCATTTATATGGCTGTACTATAATTCATTAATCACTTCTATATTGATGTATATTTAGGTTATATCCATTTTTACATGGTACATACAATCATGAGATAATGTATCCTTTTACATTAAAAAAAAAGTGGTGCCCATTTAACAGGTAATAACACACATGACAGTAGCACTAAAACTTGTTAGAATACCTTTTATTTAATATTAATATCTAATTTGTATAGTGATTTTGCATATATATCTCACTTGACCCTCTATAAATTAGAGAAAACATATATTGCTACTTCTGCTTCAGAAATGAGGAAATTTTAATAAATGACTTACCCAAGGACAGGAAGCTGATGCAGTTTGGATAAAGCTAGGACTCAAACCCAGTTCTTTGGACTCCACATACTGTGATCTCTAACCGAACACAAACTATTTCTCATCCTTAGTTAATTTGAAGATCTGTAAAATAAAAAAATGTAACTAATACTGTGCATTTTAAATTTTGATATCAAGTTGTTCATTTATGTGCTAAAGTAATCTTTTTTATAGTTTTATTTTATTTTTAATTAAGTAATAAAAATTGTATAAAATTATAAGGTAACATGTGATGTTTTGATACATGTATACATCATGGAATGATCAAATCAGGTTAGTGAACATATCTATCATCTCAAATACTTATCATTTCTTTCTGGTGAGAACATTTAAAATCTACTCATTTAGCTATTTTTTTTTTTTTGTCTTTGTTTTTTTTTGTGTCCGGCAACGGATCGCAACCCGAAGTGTCGCACCCGTACCGGACCGGGACCGGCAATGGGATTGCAACCCTCGGCGTTGCTCCCACACCTCGCTCAGCCAGTGAGCAGGAACCGGTCTGTATGTGGGATCCGAACCCTCGGCAGGAGTGCCGCCGCGCTCTCAAGCGGCACACTGTAGCAGTGCGCCACCGGGCCGGCCCTTATTTAGCTATTTTGAAATACACCTTTTACTAACTATAGTCACCAAGCTGTGCGAAAGATCACCAGAACCTGTTTCTTGTATCTAACTGAAACTTTGTACTCTTTGATCAACATTTCCTCTTTCTCCATCTGTACCCCCTACCCCACCACCATCTGCATACCCGTTGTCTGGTAACCACCATTCTATTCCTTATTTCTATGAGTTTGACTTTTTTAAATTCCACATATGAGTGAGATCTCTCTTTGCCTGGCTCACTGCACTTAGCATAATGTCTTCCAGGCTCATCTGTGTTGTAGCAAGTGACAGAATTTCTTGTTTATCTAAAGCTGAATAGTATTCCATTGTATGTATGTGTATATATATATATATACACACATACAATGTGATATATATATATATACACACACACACACATACATACACAAACCATATTTTCTTTATCCATTCAACCACTGATGGACACTTCAGTTGTTTCCATACTTTGGCTATTGTGAATAACACTGGGAGTACAGATAACTCAGTATATTAATTTCAATCATTTGGATATTTACCCAGAAGTGGGATTGCTGGATCATATGGTAATTCTACTATAAGTTTTTTGAGGAAACTTCATACTGTTTTCCAAAATGGCTATATTAATTTGGGTTACACCAAGAGTGTACAAAGGTTTCCTTTTTTCTCATCCTCACCAACACTTGTTATTTTTTGTCTTTTTGACAATGGCCAGTCTAACAGATGTGAGGTGATAACTCATTGTGGTTTTAATTTGCATTTCTCTGATGATTAGAGATGTTGAGTATTTTTTCATATATTTGACGGCCTTTTGTATGTCTTTTTTTGAGAAATGTCTGTTCAAGTCTCTTGTCTGGTTTTTAATCAGATCATTCATATTCTTATTATTCAGTAGTTTGAGTTCCTTTTATATTTTGGATATTAGCTTCTTATCCAATGCATAATTTGCACGTATATTCTTCCAATACATGGGTTGTCTCTTCATTGTTTTTTTTTTTTTTCCTTTTGCTGAACAAAAGCTTTTTAGTTTAATGCAATTTCATTTGTCTATTTTTGCTTTTGTTGCCTATGCTTTTGGGGTCAGAGCAAAGAACTCATTGCCCAGACCAATGTCATGGAGCTTTCCCTCTATGTTTTCTTCTAGTAATTTTACTGTTTCAAGTCTTAAATTTAAGTCTTTAATTCTTAAATAAGGGATAAGATAAGGGTCCATCTTCATTCTTTGGTATGTGGATATCCAGTTTTCCAGTATCATTTATTAAGAGACTGTCCTTTCCACATTGTGTGTTCTTGTCACCTTTGTCAAAAATTAATTGACTGCAGGTGTGTGGGTTTATTTCTCAGATCTCTATCTTATTCCATTGATTGGTATATCTGTTTTTATGCCAGTACCTTGTTGTTTTGATTACTATAGCTTTGTAACACATTTTCAAATCTGGTAGTGTCATGCCTCCAACTTTGTTCTTTTTAGTCAAACCTGCTTTGATCCTTCAGGGTCTTTTGTGGGTCCATATATATTTTAGATTTGTTTTTTGTTTATTTTTCTATTTTTGTGAATTATGAAATTCTGAAATTTTGATAAATATTGCATTGAATCTGTAGATCACTTTGGGTAATATGGTCATTTTAACAATATTAATTATAACAATCTATGAACACAGTATATCTTTCTATTTATTTGTGTCATATTTAATTTCTTTCATGAATATTTTGTCCAATGCCACACCAATCTCTACCTACATGGTCCTCACTGTACTCTGAAGCTAACAAGGTAATTTATAAATTAAAAAAAGTGAATGTTGTTATAATTCTTCACTTGACACCATCCTGGGGAAAATCACATTGTAAACTTCATTTTTTTCCCAGAGACCAGACCAGTTTTGTGAGGCACTGGAGCTTCTGTCCTAGTATCACCCTTCCCCACTGAGATCAAGAACAAGGCAAGGGTGTCTTCTCTCACCACTTTTTTTTTTTTTTTACAACATTGTACTGAAAGTTTTAGAAAATCCAGTAAGACAAGAAAAAGAAATTAAAGGCATACTGATTAGGAAGGAAAAAATAAGACTGTCTTTGTTCCCAGATAACATGATGGTTCATCTGGTGGGGAATGTTGATAATGGGAAGGTAGTGCATGTGTAGGGGAAAGGAGCATATGGGATATCTTTATATCTTCCTCTCAATTTTGGTGTGAACCTAAAACTGCCCTTAAAAATAAAGTCTTTTTTTTAAAAAAGAGGAACTAAGTGGGAGGATTTTTACTTCGTGATTTCAAAATTGATTATGAAGTTCACAATGATAATCAAAACACTATGGTTTGACGGTTTCTACAAAGTTAAACATAATTTTACCATATGACTCAGCAATCTACTCCTACTCACATGAAATGTCCAGGAAAGACAAATCTATGAAGACGTAAGTAGATTAATGTTTGCCTGGAACTTGTGGTGGGACTAGATGGTGACTGTAAAAGAGCACGAGAGATCTATGTGAATGATGGAAATAGTTTATGACTGGATTTTGATGATGGTCATGCAATTTGATAAATTTACTAAAAAAACATTGAATTACGTCCTCAAAATCAATAGAATTTGTGGTATGTAAATCATGCTTTAATATCCTTTTTTTTATAAAAGGCTTAAATTGTCTGGAAGAGCTGAATGATTAACATCCGCGACTCTAAAATCTCTTAAAACTGTTCTTGTGTGCTCAGTATGGGCCTATGGAATAAAAGGCTGTTGCTCATTTGATTTTCAGTATTTTTTATCTACTCCATTTGACTAAGTTTCTTGAAAGTAGGATAGTGTGTCTTAAGCATATTTATATCCCCACACCCGTAGTGCTTAGTATAGCTTTCGCACACAGTCCAAGCTTTTAAATATTGGATCATTTAACTTGGTTTTAATGAAATTCTGTAACTTAAAGTAAAAGTTTTTTGTCTCTTTCTTTATTTAATTGTGACTAGAATAACAATTTGTTACTCCTCTAATAGAGTATATTCATTTTTTCATCTCCTTCATTTAATTATAGGTATAGTGACACCAGATAAAGGATAAACATGAAATATAATTATATAATTGTACCTTTAATAAAATTATATTGAAGCCAAGCCCAAACAATAGTTGTTTTTTTAACAGAAAATAAATATTGTTTTTAATTAAAATGAGATATAACAGTGATTTAGTTAGTCATTGTTAGTTATGTTTTGAAAGTTTATGTCTTTTTTTTTAAAATAAACAGGGCTTCATTCGCAATCCCCAACAATTTTGGAACTGTCTCCACAACTTATTCGAACACAACTAGAATTTATAAACTTAAATCAATATGTACGGTAAGTTTCAATAGACATAATTAATGCAGACAGCCGTTGTCATAAAATTTTGGATATATTGCCAATAGGCAGTTGCTAAGCAACTGAAAATTTGAAATGAATGTTTAATATATCTTCAGTGTGTCTAAATTTCTAGAAGTAAATAATTGTACGTCTCAAGTTTAGCAACTGTTTTATTAAATCAATCACAAAAGCACTTTAATATTTTCTGTAATGGTTTAATTTGAAGCCTGACTAAGGTGAGTCGAGCAACAGAAAATTTCCATTGTACCTGCTGTCATTATTTAATTAGACTCAATTTCCTTAAGAATTAGACAATGGGATTAATAGACAGAGATGGTAATTCAAGCATATTTATAAGTTTGAAAGCATTGTCAAAATTATTTGGCTGCAAAAATTCAAAAGGAAAAACTACAAACTATTCTTGTAGGTTTGAACACCAGTTCCAAAATCACTTCATCAAGTGGTACATCCAAATTTACTCATACTTTTCTAAAATACCAGTGATTCAATAAATAGAGCACAGCCCATATAAAAAAAAAATAGTTTATTCTTTGTATCCCTAATGTTTTACTAAATTCAGACCACCGCCCTCTACAAATAATTTTAGATTATTTGAGTTCTAAAGCAAAGTTTATTCCAGAGTTTCCAAATGATCTATATATCTCTCTTGATAATTTTATATTAAGCAAAACAGGTAAGGAGCCTCTCCTGCAAACAAACGAACTCAATCAACAGCAGGCAATGCAAAAGGCAGAAGAAATTCATCAGTTTCGACAGTATAGGACCAGAGTCCTTAGCATTAGAGATATTGACCAAGAAGAACGGTTCAAGTCAAAGAATGAAGTCCTGGAGATGTACGGGGAAATGCGGGTGAGTCTAAAAGTACATACATGGGTCATGGTTGACAAATTCTTTTATAATATTAAAAAAAATCATAAAATCGTATAATGTTCATGTAGAAAGAAGTCTTGAAAACATTGTTTCTACAATTCACTTCTCAGAAAAGAGGGCAAATTGATTACACATCTGTCACTTCACCCCCTAAAACCCTCTAAAATGCAATATTGGGAATATAGCCTCAAAGATGGGAAGAATAGGAGGGAAGACAATAACAAAATTATTTGCAAAGATGGAAAATAACTGGATAAGACCACATTAGCAGACTTGAGGCAACCAAATCCTAAACTGGCATAAGTTGCTCCATAGAATCCCTATGGAATCCCCAAAACATATGTTAGAAAGTTAAAGTGAACTGGGAGGAAGATAACATAGTTAGGTTTGCTTGGTTTAAAGCTATTTAAGAATTTCAGATCATCCCCTCAACTTTTTTGCAGCCAGGTGACTGTCATTCCCCCACTTCAGCAGAAGAATAGAGGCACTTTATTTGGACATGGCCAAAAAACAAAAGGAAAGAAAAATAATTTCTATACTGTAGAAGACTAAACTTAATTGAAAATTGAAGTACCATGCTAGAAATGGGGAAATTCAGTGAATGCATATGAATGACTTCGCACTATGGAGGATGAGGATTTATTCTTTTCCTTGCTCTTCCCTATCACACACACACACACACACACACACACACACTCATTCATACACGCTCCCAAAGACACTGAAGACTACAGGATTTATTCTTTTCCTTGCTCTTCCCTATCACACACACACACACACACACACACACACACACACTCATTCATACACGCTCCCAAAGACACTGAAGACTACAGGAGTTTCTAAAATTTCAGCCACAGTGATACTGGGTTCTCCATGTCATTTCCAATATTGGCCCATCTGAAGAATATGCCAATTTGACATCTTGTTTGTTTGTTCAATAGGTACCTCAATAGGCACCTCAAACAGATCCTCTCCAAATTCAGATTCTAGAACCTTCCCTCCCATCTCAGCACAAACACGTCATTCCATCAATATTCATTTCAGTAAATGGCAATTGCACTGAGTTGCTCAGAATGAAAACCTTGGAGACACCCTTGACTCTTCTTACTCCTTGCATATAATCCATTGTCAAAACCTCTCAGCTCTTACCTTGAAAATATGCACAAAATTCAATCATTCCTCACTGTCTCTATCCCCACCTCCTTCATCCACACGATCATCGTTTTCCATTGAGTATTGCCGCAGCCCCAGCTAATCTCACTGCTTCCATCTTTGCCCTTCCACAATATGGTTTCTGCTCAGCAGCCAAAACAGTTGTATCCATCAGGATAAACTATCTTATCCTGTGGTAACAAAAACCTCAGTGCCTCAGTGGCTTAACACAGGGTTTGGCAAACTTGTTTTCTGTAAAGGGTACTAGTAAATATTTTTGTTTTTGCAGGCCATATTGTCTCTTTGCAGGCCATATGTTGCATCAACTTAAAAGATAATACCTATGGGCCGGCCCGGTGGCGCACTGCTACAGTGTGCCGCTTGCAAGCGCGGTGGCACTCCCGCCAAGGGTTCGGATCCCACATACAGACCGGTTCCTGCTCACTGGCTGAGCGAGGTGTGGGAGCAACACCGAGGGTTGCGATCCCGTTGCCGGTCCCGGTCTGGTACGGGCACGACACTGAGGGTTGTGATCCGTTGCCAGACATGAAAAAACACAAAAAGGAGCCGGACACGAAAAAAGACAAAAAGGAAAAAAAAAAAAAAAGATAATACCTAAATGAATGGGATGATACATACATAAACAGAACTTTACAAGCAATGAGCCAGATTTGTTCCACAGGCCTTAGTTTACCAACCACTTGTTTAAAACAATAAAAGAGTATTTCTCATTCTGGTTACATGTCCAATGCAGTTCAATTGAGGGTCCTTCTTATCATATTTATTGATATTCCAGGCTGAAGGAGATTCCATAAGGACACTTCTACCATGATAATTATAACAGGGGAGGAGAACATGGTGAATTGCACATTGGCTATTACTATTTCTGCCCAGAAATGGCACATTCATTTCCACTCACATTTCATTGGCTGAAGCAAGTCACACAGTCACAACTTCAAAGAAGCAACCAACCTTGGTTCCTTCTAGTATCAAGAACTGTGACACAATACATTTCATTTCTTTAAACCGCTTTGTTTCTGGTACTTTGTTACAGCAGCCCTAGGAAACTAATACAGAGGGCAATAACACCATGTATCTGGAAGGGAACTAAAAATATTTTACAAATTGCACTAATGATAATCATAATACATCTTTAAAATGGGGGGCAGGATCATTTCAATTCTCTAAAGTCTTAACATTTCTCCAGAAAAAAAGCCGAACTCGGGCCGACCCGGTGGCGCACTGGAGAGTGCGCCGCTTGGGAGTGCAGCGGCGCTCCCCCTGAGGGTTTGGATCCCATGTGGAGACCGGTTCCCGCTCACTGGCTGAGCGCAGTGCGGGCGCAACACCGAGGGTTGCGATCCCGTTACCAGTCAGTAAAAAAGACAAAAAGGAAGAGAAAAAAAAAAAAGAAAGAAAAAAAGCCAAACTCTAGATTATGACCATTAGAGCTCCACATAATCGAGTGCCCGCTTTCCTCTCCGATGTTTTCTTCTATGATTCTGCCTCTTTTGCTCTTTTTTGTTCTTGCCAAACTGAATTTGCCTTTCCTCTAACAACCAGGCATGTTTGTCTTACTCCTACCCCTTCCTAGAAGATCCTTTCCCCAGAGAGCTAAATGGTTTACACCTGCATTTTATGAGATCTCTAATTTACTGTCACTTCATTAGAGAGATCTTTACTAACTACCCCGCGACACCGAGGGTTGCGATCCCATTACCGGTCAGTAAAAAAGACAAAAAGGAAGAAAAAAGAAAGAAAGAAAGAAAAAAAGCCAAACTCTAGATTAGAACCATTAGAGCTCCACATAATCAAGTGCCCGCTTTCCTCTCCGATGTTTTCTTCTATGATTCTGCCTCTTTTGCTCTTTTTTGGTCTTGCCAAACTGAATTTGCCTTTCCTCTAACAACCAGGCATGTTTGTCTTACTCCTACCCCTTCCTAGAAGATCCTTTCCCCAGAGAGCCAAATGGTTTACACCTGCATTTTATGAGATCTCTAATCTACTGTCACTTCATTAGAGAGATCTTTACTAACTACCCTTTCTAAATTAGCATCCTTAAAAATGTTATGACCGTGCCTGGCCTTATCTTTCTTTCAAGAACTTATCCTGTATGTGTGTTCATTTATTGATTTAATATGAAAGTGTAGGAATATGTACTATGTGATTTAGTCCATTTTGTGCTTCTATACCAGAATATCTGAGATTGAGTAAGTTTGTTTAAAAAACAAATCAGTAAATAAATGAATGAATATTAAAATTGCATATATTCAATTTATCATATAAGAAATAGTTTAATTAAATTATAAGGCAAAAAGGAATTTCAGGATTGCTGTTTTCGTTTTCTCTGCATGCTTTTTTTTTTCTTCATTGTTCATAGCAGCTTCATTCACAATAGCCCAAAACTGGGATTGATACATGCAACTTGAATGGATAACATTATATTGAATTTTTAAAAAAGCAACCTCAAAGGGTCACATACTCTGTACTTCCATTTACAGTACATTCTCCAAATGACAAGATCATAGAGATAAAAAATAATTTATTGGTTGCCAGCTGCCAGAGGTTTGGGATAGTTGTGGGGAGAGCAGAGCAGGGAGGAACAGTGTGACTATAAAGAGGTAGCATGAAAAACAAACCATATGTTCATCGACTGGTGACAGACAAATCCAGGGAACTTTACTATGTGTTTTTTAAAAGTTTTTTAAAATTATTTTTAATTGACACATAATAATTGTATATATTTATGGGATATTGTGTGATATTTTGATATATATATATATACATATGTATAAAATGTGTAGTAATAAAATCATATTACTTAATATATTTATCACCTCAAACATTTATCATTTCTTTGTATCAGGAACATTCAAAATCCTCTCTTCTAGCTAATTGAAAGTATACAATAAATCATTGTTAATTATAGTTAATTAGTAGACCAGCAGATGCAATAACCGGGGAGAAGATGGGAAAGAAATATTAACTGGAACAGCTTTGAATTCAGACCCCATTCATTTAAGTGTGAGGTACAGATAAACACCCTAGTTTTGACTGAAGTCATTTTAAGAGAAACATGATCACTAACAGATTATTAATCAGATAGGAGAAAACACACACATTCCTCAAGGTATCAGTAACATGTATTAAACTTATTTACACAAAACCCTTAAGATGTCTGTCTCTCTCTCTTTTAAAAAAAAATATGTCATTGCTATAATCTTGCATGTGTGTAAGTGGTTTAGTGAATCCAATTTTATTATGGTAGATACAGTACTTTTCTTTTGTCACAAGCTTTGGCAAGTCTGATTATGACATCCAGCTGTTCCAACACCTTAACAAAATCATGCCAGTTGCAAAAACATGGAAAATTTCTTAAGGAATTTAAGTATAAAGACAAAGCAGGCATTTCTAGAAAGTTCTTTTCAGGCTAGAATCAGTTCATTAATCCTTATTCTTTAATTATATTATTTGTGAAACAGTAAACAACCAATATGGCCACTTCCACATTAAGAGATAAAGGACAAAAGAAAAGTCAGCAAAGGTCACTGAAAAGGAACAAATAGGTAGAAGAAAAATTAAGAGGGCGCCATGTCCAGGAAGCCAGGCAAAGTTGGTTGATTTAGGAGGAGAGAGTGTGGTTAAGTAAGAATAGGACCAAGAAATGATCTTGGATTTAGGTGCATATAAGTTGTTGACCTGAAAAAGAAACTTAGTCCAAATACATATAGCAAGGATTTATTGAGCCAATATGACAATTGCAACAGGGGTGACACATAGATCAGATCACCCTGAGAAATGTGTTCCAAAGAGGGCCAGGAGAGCTTAGCATTTTTGAATCACAAGAAGGGGGAGAGAAGTAAGAGAGTGGTAGAAGGACAGCCCTCCTAATCACTTCATCAGCTTTTCTGTTGGTTGTACATGACATGTAGATTTGGGATTGTTATTAAATTACATCTACATGCAGGGTTCTAGGGTAAGGTTCACAGGAAGCATCTCAGGTTACTTTCTGGCTGCTTTTAAGAAAAAAAGGTCTTATGATAACATTATTCAGGACAAGGGGAAATGATTCCTGACTTATTCCAGATCTCAAGGCATTATAATTTAGCTGACCTGGTTAGAGCAGATTCTTTTGGTTGTCAAGGTCATTGGTGTCCTTAATAAATATACTTTTTTCTGGAGTGGTGAGAATGAAAGTCAAACTGACAATAACAAAGATAACCAATGGATTAGGTGATATTACTTGGAAACTCTTAAAGAGCAGTTCAGATATACTTTTTCAGGGCTAAAATACACGTGATAATCACTTCATCAGCTTTTCTGTTGGTTGTACATGACATGTAGATTTGGGATTGTTATTAAATTACATCTACATGCAGGGTTCTAGGGTAAGGTTCACAGGAAGCATCTCAGGTTACTTTCTGGCTTTCTGGCTGCTTTTAAGAAAAAAAGGTCTTATGATAACATTATTCAGGACAAGGGGAAATGATTCCTGACTTATTCCAGATCTCAAGGCATTATAATTTAGCTGACCTGGTTAGAGCAGATTCTTTTGGTTGTCAAGGTCATTGGTGTCCTTAATAAATATACTTTTTTCTGGAGTGGTGAGAATGAAAGTCAAACTGACAATAACAAAGATAACCAATGGATTAGGTGATATTACTTGGAAACTCTTAAAGAGCAGTTCAGATATACTTTTTCAGGGCTAAAATACACGTGAGAAATTGGTAATTTATTGAGGACAGTTACTATATGAGAGACAATAGGCTGAATATTTTATATAGATTATATTTGAACTCATTTAAAATAGTTCCTTTGACAAAATCTCTACCTATTTCTTTCTTTACCTTTCTCTCTTCTTTTCTTGCGCCAATGCTTTTATTTACTATTTCGTGTTAATACCTCATAGGCTTTTCATTGCTGTCTCATATTTTGAGTACTGATAAACATTTGAGACCATAACCTAATTTTCATCTTCAATAATTTTCCACCTGAATCTATTGGCATACGGAAAGAATAAATGGATTGCCTTTTTTTTTCTGGGACCATGAACTTTCATCAGTGGAACTTTTGTTTGGGGTTTTGTTTTGGAACAGGACTCCTTAGATGAAGCCAGACAGAAGATTTTCAATATTCGGGAAGAGTACAGAAACAAGTTGCTGGAAGCTGAGCGCCTAAGGTTGGAAGCACTGGCCGATCAGGAAGCAGCAACGCGGGCGGAGACAGAAAAGAAGACCCTGGCTTTACCTTTCTCTCTTCTTTTCTCCCGCCAATGCTTTTATTTACTATTTCGTGTTAATACCTCATAGGCTTTTCGTTGCTGTCTCATATTTTGAGTACTGATAAACATTTGAGACCATAACCTAATTTTCATCTTCAATAATTTTCCACCTGAATCTATTGGCATACGGAAAGAATAAATGGATTGCCTTTTTTTTTCTGGGACCATGAACTTTCATCAGTGGAACTTTTGTTTGGGGTTTTGTTTTGGAACAGGACTCCTTAGATGAAGCCAGACAGAAGATTTTCAATATTCGGGAAGAGTACAGAAACAAGTTGCTGGAAGCTGAGCGCCTAAGGTTGGAAGCACTGGCCAATCAGGAAGAAGCAACGCGGGCGGAGACAGAAAAGAAGACCCTGGGCCCTGACACACAGAAAAAAAAGAAGGGAAAGAAAAAGTAACCAGGAGTTGCCCAATGCTACCCTTTTTCTGGAGAGGAAAAAAAAAACTATTCTTAATGATATGTAACTTTGCCTGTTAGTAGAATAAGATATTAGGCCAATTGAAAATAGAAGTTTTCTTAACTTAGAAATAATTTCTATATTTTAAAGTTAACTTGTTAGTTTTCTCAGAAAGCTAGTTTTTGAAGCCATTAGAGTTCAAAATGCTTTAATTTCAATAAAACTGCTTTTCAGATATTTAGAATGTAATAAAACATGTGTGTCAAAGTTAACTTGTTAGTTTTCTCAGAAAGCTAGTTTTTGAAGCCATTAGAGTTCAAAATGCTCTAATTTCAATAAAACTGCTTCTCAGATATTTAGAATGTAATAAAATATGTGTGTTGCACTGTGAATTACCTGCATTTTTAATTAGTAGCAAAACAAGATTATAAATGAGCCAACAGGATTATCTTTGAAAAATTCAATAATGAGAAAATATCTGTTGCTCTTAGAAGAAACATTGTCTCAAACTTTAAATGTTCTAAAATATTAGTAGATATGCTTCAGATTTGTGCCATGATTTTATAGCCAAATCTCAATAACCTGCATTCATTGCACAACAACTATTCTGGTTCAGCCTACTGAAAGTGTTAGGACTCTAAATCTTAACAATGAGCCATGGTAACCCAGACATACAGAATGCAACACATTCCTTTTCATGCCCACTAGCATCATATTTCTTGGAAGAAAGAGAGCAAGTTTTTACACACCAGCTTAGAAAAAATACAATGAGTGGATTAACTGAGGCACATGGTAGGAAATTGACTTTCTTCAAAAGCACACTTCCAATACATGACTGTCTCAAATAAAACTCTCCTATTTTTTTTCTTAACCAGTCAAAGCTGTTTCACTTCAATAGGGGATTTTATGCTTTTTACATTCTCATTCAAATCTTTGTTATTAAAAACATTTAGTTTAACCCACACATATATGGTCAACTAATTTTTGACAAAGGTGTCAAGAATGCACAACGGGGAAAGAAAAGTCTCTTCAATAAATGATGCTGGGAACACAATATCCACATGCAAAAAAAATGAAATAGGACCCTTGTTATATACACTATATACAAAATATATACAACAGAACTAGTAGGCAAGGCTGCTAAATGAACTGTAATAAGTAGACTCCATATGTTCAAGAAGATAGAGGAAAAAATGAACATGACAAGCAAAGAAATGAAGGAGATACAACCAACATCAACTTCTACGCGTTAAAATTACACTGGAAAGATTAAAAACAGATTAGGCACTGCAGAAGAAAAACAGCAATAGAATCTACAAAATTGAAACACACAGGAGAAAAAACAAAAAGAGAAAAACAATTTCACAGCAAACCTGTGAGCTGTGGGGCAGCATTAAGTTGCTAAACAAACATACATTTAATTAGAGATCCAGAAGGAAAGTAGAGGGAGCATAAAAAAAGATTTTAATGACATAGTAGCCAAAATTTTTCCAAATTTGCTGAAAACTATCAACACTGCAAGAAACTCAAACAATTCCAATCTCATAAATGTAAAGTGAAACATACGAACAAACATCATGATCACAAATTGATCAAAACTAATTATAAAGACAATAATCTTAAATTAAAAGCATCAAGAGGAAAAACTACCCATTAAATACAGAGAAATGATAAAAATTCTATCTGATTTCTTATCAGAAACTATGCACAATGGAAGACAATAAACATATTTTAAGTAATGAAAAATGTGAAGTAAGAAAACTAATGAAAAAAAAAGTCAACCTAGAATTTTGTGCCCAGTAAAATTATTATTCAGAAACAATAGGTAAAAAAAGTATTTTTTTTAAAAAAGGAGATAAAATTAGTCACCTTGTGATTTTTACTACAATAAATTTTAAACCCAGTGTTTCAAGTATAAGAAAAATTATACCCAATGAAAACTTAAATCTATACAGGTAATGAAGAAATTAAGAACCACCATTATCATTACATATGTGAGCAACTATAGAAACCACCCATTTTTTTAATCTTTTGAAAATATAATTGACTATGTAAAACAAACATAACTACAGTGCATTGTGGGATTTACAACATACATAGAAGTGAAATAAATAACAACAATTACCCAAAAGACAGGAGGGGGGAGATGAAAGTACACTAATGTAATGCTCCTAAACAATACATAAAGTGATAAACTTTTACTTGAATGGAAGCTATGATAAATTTAAAAAGTTCATTGTTAACCTTAGAACTACCACTAAACAACAACAACAACAACAAAAGACAAAAAGAAAAAAACAAAAGTAACAAGTCATTAGTAAATGAAATATTAAAAATAATTAAATTAATACAAAAGGAAGTTGGGAGGAAAGCAAAGAAAAACTGGTAAAAACTGGAAAAAAAGTAGCAATATGGTAGATTTAACAAAGTATTTTCTCATAGATAAAAAATAATATAGTGTCCAATCTTTCAAATAAAGAAAAAATAAAAAAATATTTTCTAAGAAAATACTATAAATTCTTGGAGTGATTACTCTAGAAATGATTTGATGCTTGCACCTACGGTTGGAGTCATTGTCACTAACAATGCAATAGGTACCAATGCAGACTGACTTACAGGTGGTTTGCAATCATAATTCAAATATTTGGCATGGCGTTGCCATTGGCAACACATTTTCCAAAATGATGAACAGCCCTGATATATTTCCAAATACCATAATACATAGTCTGTCCTTACTGTACATAATGATTTAATTCCTGAAATGTTCAGTGAACATTTTAAAACCATACAAAAAAAAATGCTTTAGTTTTATGTATGTTACCAAGAGTTAGGTTCTGGGATTATTACTTGCTTTTGTACATAATGATTTAATTCCTGAAATGTTCAGTGAACATTTTAAAACCATACAAAAAAAAAATACTTTAGTTTTATGTATGTTACCAAGAGTTAGGTTCTGGGATTATTACTTGCTTTTCAACTGTGTAAACAGTGAACCATTCAAATCATACAATTTTTTATTACATGTGACTCTCAAAAATTGCAGGATATCTAACATCGTTGGCCTCAATCACTAAATAGCAGTAGTTCTTTCCATTATTGGGACAACCAAAAATGTCCCCACGTGTTTCCTAAATATTCCCTGGAAGAGGCACTGTCCTCACTGGGAACATCATCCCCATGCAGAAGAATAGTCAAGATTGTCAAGAAGCTGAAATAGCAATGGCAATGTATCACAGTTAGTAAATGATTCTGTTGGAATACATTGTCATATAAGTATTGATTTAGTTATATGTTGACTGAGTTAACCAGGGTGCTATGGGCTGAATGTTTGTCCCTTCCAAAGCTCACATTGGGAGCTTGATTCCCAATGTGGCAGGGATGAAAGATGGTACCTTCAAGAGTTGATTGGATCATGAGGACTATGCCCTCATAAGTGGATTAATCCATTCACGGAGGGCTATGGGTGAAATGTATCCCCCAAAGTTTCATGTATTGGAAATTCATCCCAGCCTCCAAAACTGTAAGAAATAAATTTTATTTCTTTGTAAATTACCCAGTGTTAAGTATTCTATTATAAACACAAAAAATGGACTAATATGTGGAGTAATAGGTAGATGGTTTAATGGGTTGCCATGGGTATGGATTAGTGGCTTTTTAAGGGTCTCTACAAGACCCTGTCGACAATTCTCACCCAGAAGAATGACTTCACCAGATTCTTCTCCTCAATTGTAGACTTTCCAGCCTACAAACTGTAAGAAATAATTTCATTGCTTTATAAATTATGCAGTTTAAGGTACTATGTTATGAGCAACAGAAAACAGGTGACTACACGGGGCGTATCTATAAAGCACATCACAGTTCCTACAGTCCCTATGCCATTGTCTTTGACAGAGGGTCTGGCCTACCATTCAGTTTCTTTCTCCCTAGTCTCCTATCATCTACCTCTTCACAGCCTCCAAGTCCTTCAAGGTCAATCTCTCCCTCCTCTGGGGCTACTGTAAAGGCAGAACAAACAGTATTCCTCTTCTGCAGTCACAGGCCTGCCTCTGAGACAATAGGAATAATCCCCAGGGTGCCTGCCAGTCTGGTGATAATGAAACATCATTATCTAGAGCAATTTGACTCCTCATTGCCTCCAACTTCTCCACTGAGGAATAGGATTGTGGCGTCCCTTTTGCATAATTTAAAATGACCACTAATGTGTTTTTTGAAATGTAACAGTCTTCATTTAAATAAATCTGAAAACTGCTGATAGTTTAATAAACTTTTAATTGGCTTCTAGACATCAAGTTTTCAAAACAAAACAAACGACTTAATTCTAGTCTCAGAGCCCCTTATTATATATAGATTATTTGCACACAGAAAAAAATGTAGCATAATACTGTGATATGTCAACTGTTATGTACCTTGTGTCCCTAACTCATTCAGAACAAATCGTTATATCAATTGCCTCTCGGAAAATAGGAAAATAAAAGTAGAAGTGGCAAGAAAAGCCATATAGTCATAGAACTATTCTCAGACAAAAAACCATGTTACCCCCAGTCTCTGGCTAAGGCCCTATCCCTTGTGGGTTTATTTATATCAAATTAATGAATGTTTTCAATGACCTTTAGGGAACATTTCTAAAATTAACATTACAAAGAAACTTTGTTTTAAGCTGTTATAGAGCTTTTTTGTCTAATCAATTATAAAATAGATTTTATTCATTTTAATTTATATAAAATTGTTTCCAGCCACAGGTGTGTTTTCGTGGAATAGCTTTATTACATGTTGATTGTGCTTAGAACTTTAAGCTAATCATCCTTGTTTTTCACTTTTTGGTTGGGCACAGATGGCAGTATTACCACATGTATGATTTATTTTTGAAGTGAAATTATATAACAAATCATATGTATATTCCCATAACTTTAAACAATTCCAACCTTATTTAAAAAAACCAAATATTTTAAATTAATTTTGTTAATTATAAAAATTCACTTATCTCATCTGTAAATCCCTTTCCTATCTGGTATACAATATAATGACACTATTTTTACTACAAATCAAACTGTTGATTTCCGAATTACCAATTGAGATAGGATACGGATGTATCCTTCATTCCAGTGTAGGTGGTTGATCTATTCAGACAGACACAAAGAAATCTCACAAAAAAAGATATTTGACTCTGTGGAAAAAAGTCCAAATAAATATATAATATAGTAAAGAATTATCAGTCAATATTTAAATGTCTAAATA